ATGAAAAATTAAATCTTGATGCATATTACTAGTGACGCCAAATATATCATGGTGATCTAAATAAAGAGATGTAATTTGAGTTATGTAGTTAAATAGAGAGAATGAATGAATAAAAAATATATAAATACCTAGCGATTTTGACATGTCACGCTATTGTGTCCTGTTTGACTACATGCACCGCAGGTGTATGTGCGTGATTTTCCTTTTTTTTCAGTCACAGATTTATAACATTTGATTTTTGGACGTCCCTTTCATCTTGACACTAATGGATTTTCAATTGATCCAGGTTCATTTTCCTTGTTTTCATCATTAGCTTGGATTTCAAGGGGTTCTTGGAGATTCCAATTTCGCACTGATCCAGTAAGTATAGTCGCTGTTTCTTTGTGCCAGCCAATGAACTCTTTTAACTATGCCACCATCTCACTATGGTCACCGTGATTAACAGCAAGCTGGGTTGCATGTCACGCCAGTTCTCACACCTCTCCATATTTGACTTTTCGTTGTGCTGCACGATGTAAAACACACGTCACGGACTTGAATATAGTCGAGGGATTTGACATTAGTATTTCGTTCGGTTGATTCTTCGCTGATTCTTGATTCGCAAAACAATAAGCACTCGTAATTATATCCTTGTCTTTTTGTTCATTATTATACCACCGGACAGGTACTATTTAAATATGAAATCCTGCGATTTTTGAATATATCATCACCCAGAAATAATGACAACAGATGATGCCACAAGATATGTTCGACATGCACGAACATAGGTAAGAAATAGAATCAACCACTACCACAAAATGTGAATGTTTGCTGTTTCTGGGTCGCATGTCTTTAATTTTCCACACTTCTTGAACATTTTCTTCGCCAACTATTGATTTCAATAGAATTTGTTTGACATCATATGAATCCTCAACGAATTCATCCATCACGATAAGGTTGGAATCCTAAACATAATAAAGTATTAGATTTATCCAAATGACTTCAAATATTTGTATTTGATTTGATTTACCTCGTCATTATTATTCGCAATATCTATTTGACTTGCAACGAAATATAGGCATTGTGACATTTCCAGACGTTCAGCAGACAATATGTGGGAGGTGAAATATTTGGACATTTTTTTGTCGATTTCAGGAAAAAGATCGTGATCCACTGACACAATTCCCATACAAGATGACATAGTCTGGTATTCAAAAAACTGATTCCACTGTGCCTCATTTTGGAGTCTTGCATCGAGTGCATCGACAAGATCACACAAACTGCTACTTGCTGTTAATAGGCGTTTGACAATGCTGTTGAGACCTTCGACACGAGAGATAGTTTGAATTCCCACTGTGAATATTTTTGATGTAAATACCTGTGCCCATGCTTAAGGTTGCTTGCCGAAATCCCTTAGTGACTGTCTAAATTCTGTCGAAATTATAATAAACTATTAGTAAATAACC